TTACCATCAAATCGGATCTGACTGGTACAGGAGGAGATTGCCCCTCCTTCTCCAGCAGAGCATCTGGTGGATTCAAACCACATACCTCTGGGATTGCAATACAGCTTCTTGCCACTAGGCCACCAGAGCTTTCTAAGCTAATGTTTTATATGGATGAGAGATAACCATGAGGAATAACTTCTGTTAAAGGTTTCCTTTAGTCTCTATGTCTAGTAAGTATGGCCTTTTTAAAAAGTTTAATTTTTCTAGGTTTTCTTACATTCCAACCAGACCCTTGATGTGCCCTAGGTTAGAGCAGTAGATAGTGGTAGCTGGACACCATTTAGTTCTTGTGGTCTTTGGCTTGGAGAGGTTGTGATTCTTTTGAAAATGCTGTGTGCTACCAGGACTTCACTACTAGGTTTGCTGATTCATTGCAGTGACCATACAGAATACACAAACTATACTCAAGATTATGAGGTTTCTTAAGAGATTGAACAGGGAGCTGCAATGACATATTCCATAGCTCTTAACCCAAAGATTGTACTTCTGCTGTTTAAATCCACCAGTAGCTCCTTCAGAGAAAGGAGGAGGAGAAAGTCCCCTCCTGTTACCTTTTGCAGCCTCAGAAGCCTGGTGAGAAGGTTGCTAGGAGTCAAAACCAACCTAATGAGTTTGAGCTTTTGAAAAAATGGATTTCAGTTCAGGTTGGAAACAGGATATAATTCTTTAATCAGGACAGCTTCTTCTCACTTATACTCAAGAATTTCCTTTGATACTTGGTCCCTTTTGGCTCTAGGCCCTGCTTTGAGCTCAATCAAGCAGGTGTTACAAAGACCCTTTTAGTGTTGCCATTTATGTGCTTACCAACACACATGCATGTGCACACACACATGCACATTCTCCATCAGTAAGCTTAGGCCTGAGTGCTAAGCTTTGCCTCACCCCAGTCTCTAGTTCTCCACCATCTTTGCTGTTGCATTGTTAGTGCCTGAACCTTAGCTGCTGTCTGGGCTGCTGTGTCTCAGTCTCATTTAGCAATCTCTAACCTAAAGGGCTGCAATTTCTGTTTCTTGATAGTAGTGAGTTTCCCACTTTTTTTTTTTAAGTGTAATTTCCATTTTCTTTTCAGACGAGTTTTTTCTTCAGCCTTTTAAGGAATCAAATCCTTACATGGGCTTTGGTGGTGGTCGTGGGGCAGCACCTGCAGGTCTAAATCTAGGTGGAGGTGTCCAGGCCTTTCGGGCTTCACGAGAACGGTTCCTCACCACCTTGCTGTGAATGGCACAACTCACACAGTAGTGCAGTTTCACGTAGAGCTTTGGAAGCACATAGGCGTCGAAAACACTCGCTTCGGAAATGTCCCTGACAGCAGCTGCCTCTACTATATTTCGGATTACGAACTTCTTAATTGCCTTGTCTTTGGGCACGCACCGGGCTCAGTTCGTGTGCGAATAGGCTGCACGTGGCCGCGGCCCTTTTTGGCACGACCCTTGTTTCTCCTTTTCTTCGTCATGTTGGAAGCGAGGGTCCGAGAGAGCGAGATTCCCACTTTTAAGCCTGATGGGACAGCAAAACTGACCAATCCCTCACACTATCAGTATACATATCTTAATTTGCATATTCTTAGACATAGGTGTTATTACCTTATTTACATTATTAGCAAGGTATCCAGTCTCCATGGGGGGGCCACAAACACCTCACATTTGTATAGTCCACCCAGCTGTGTGTCGTAAATTATACCCACAATTCATAGAAAAGCCATAGTGAGTAATCCACTGTACACATAACAGTCTGTAATTGCCCTCTGCAGTTGAGTGTATGAATATATTTAGAGCACAGTTTGAAGGGTTTTTTTTCTTTTTGAGATGCTAAAAATGCAGTTTCTTCATTACCACTTAATACAAGCATATGGAACCTTCATTAGTTGGGCATTGATTTTTTTTAATTGAGGCTGTCCTATTCAGTAAATGACTTGAGAAGTAAGTTTTCACTTCATAAAAGTATTGTTATATTTATTTCAGCTTTTTATTCAGATAAACATGGGGAAAGTGCCGACTAAATTATTATGTTGTAATACAATAGAAATCTTTTGATGATTTGGTAGATTATCCAGTCTTTTAACTAGATTTTAGGCAATCACATCTACTAGGTTATTATGATCGTCACTGGCTGTTAATTAAATAACTAAGATTTAAACCTTGCTTTGTCTTTCCTCAGCTGTCTTGTTACTTTATTTCCTTTCTTTTCTGCCCCCTCCTCCTTCCCTCTGCTTAGATGCTTTAGTGTACTAGTACTTGTTTTTGCTGTGTACCCATAGTGACCCTCCAGTGGGTTTTCAGAGGCAGTTAATCACATGAGAAAACACTGACCATCGTTCTCTTGCAGAGCAGCTGGTAGCCTTGAATTACATGCCTTTGGGATTGCAGTGCGGCCTCTTGCCACTAGGCCACCAGAGCTCTCTGTACTAGTACTAGTGTGGCTGAAGTGAGGGGAAAGTGGTAATTAGATATAGTGTACCATCCTCATCATTTCTGACACTAGAGTGCATTGCTGAAGTCACTAGTGTTAATTGTTTTGTTGTAAATGTTCTATTATATCTTTTTTTTACATTTTCTTCCCCACCACCCCAGCCAACCCTGCAGTGCACCCCTTGTTCCAAATTGTTCTCCAGCATATAATGTATAATCATATATTCCTTTTGCACAGTTCTTCCCCTCATCTGTTCTAATGCACTGTTCATTATCTACCCACTCTTTTCCTATTCTCTCCCCAACTCCCATGTCTGTCTTGTTTTATCATAGCACTATTATACAGTGTTTGTCCTTTTATGACTGAGATATTTGACTTAGCATAATGTCCTCCAGGCTCCGCCATGTTGTGTAGTGTTTTACTATTTGTTGTTTTGCAATGCTGCATAGTATTTAATTGTGTGACTGTACGATAGTTTTTCTATCCATTCATTTATTGATGAGCACTTGAGTTGCTTTCATCTGTCTACTCTTGTGAATAATGCAGCAGTAAACATGGTGTACATACATCTGTTTCATTTGTGACTCTGGTTTCTTTAGGGTATATTCCTGGTAGTGGAATTGCTGGGTCAAATGGGATTTCTATTCCCAGCTTTTTTGAGAAAGCACTAGATTACCTTCCATAGTGATTGTACCACTTTGTATTCCCAACAGTAATGAATAAGAGTTCAGTCTTTCTGTAACCTCATCAGCATTTGTTGTTTGCTGCCATGTTGAACTTTGCTGTTATTGCTGGGGAGAGATGATATCTCATAGCTGTTTTGAATGTTCTGTTATAGCTTATAAATTATATTATCATGATTTAATATTTAATGTATAATTGAAGTTCATTTCTACATTAACTTTAAAAGTATTAAAAGCAATTTGTTTGCCGTTTATAGAGAATAATAATAATAATAACCCAGCTATTATTTTATTGATAAATCAAGGCCTTGTTAAGAGAGTATAGGCCAAACTGGCCAAAGCTGCCGATGGTTGAGTATTGGGAAGTAATATTTCTTTGCATTTTCCTCAAGGAAGCCGATCTTGTTACAACTCATGAGTTGGGACATAATTTTGGAGCAGAACATGATCCTGATGGACTAGCAGAATGTGCACCAAATGAGGATCAAGGAGGAAAATACGTTATGTATCCCATAGCTGTGAGCGGAGACCATGAGAACAATAAGGTATATCTCTTTTGAAACTTTAATGTAATTAGGACAAGGAAAAGAGGCTTTGTTTGATTTTCATGAAATATCAGGAAAGTATGCCATTGCTAGATCCTTCTCTAGGGATTGAACTTCAAGTCACAAAGTGCTGAAATTTAATTATGTGTTTTAGAGTGAAACATGCCCATCTAAAAAATCAATAAAGCTATAATTTGTGCTGTTTTGTTGCAGGACCACTTGTAGAAAAAAGGTTGTTCTTGATTAGTAAGAGTACTGAAGCAAGGGGCAGGCTTATCTCTTACCTTACAAAGAGAAAGTACTTTGCAAGGGAGATGCTGAGGCAGTGTAAGCCATATCTGATCTAATATCTGATAATTGTGATAATGAGGAAAAGAGAACATAGACGTCTGAGTGGTTCTTCTTGGAACTTGCCTGGTTGAGAGTGGTTATGGTAATCAGATGTGTATACAACTTTTTGGCAAGCTGCATTCCTGTGGAAGCCCCAGGGATGTTGGGTATTACTTAGGGGATGGATTTAACAGTACCTTTTGCTGTAAAGTCCTAGAACAGTCAGCACTGAAAGTTCTGTGCATTTCTTGTTCGGTTTATATTTGTTCTGGCCAAATGAGTTTTTTAAAAACAGCTTTAAATAGATGTCACATGAGAACAAGAGACAGGATCGCCTTTTTGCACCTGGAACTCTGATGGCCCATTCTCTAGGGAGCTGTGCTCCTAACACAAGGGTGACACCTCTCTGTGGTTCTAGCCCCCAGCAGCTCTGTAGGAGAAAGATGGACAGTCTTCTCTTATGAGATTTACAGCCTCCAGAAACCCACTGGAGGGTCAGAGTTACCTCTCTCTCAGTGACAGACTTGACTTCTTGCACCTGAGTGCAGCCCAGTCCGTCTTTACCTATATATAGGTATAGGGGAAATGCTGGTCTTGCTCTTTCTACTCTGCAGTGCTTATAACCTAGTTATTGGCTTGTTCTCCTATCCAGGTTAATTAGGGTCAGATCTGGAAAATGGGCAGTAGTATGGCTTTCTTGAAGCATTAGATTTCATGGGCTGGTGGACTCAGACTGTATATTAGAATTTTCTGGCATTTTATTTACTAGCTGTAATTCATTCTCATTTTATTGTTGTTGTGTGCCATCGAGTTGGAACTCATATCTGACACTCGAGCAGGTTTGCAGAGGCA